AAAAAAAAAAAAGTGAGATCCCAGTGAGATGCAGCTGTTGAATGCCACCGGGCTGGCTCCGACTCATATCAGGACTGTGGTCAACAGAACAAAACACTGCCTAGTCCGGTGCCATCTCCACAATTGTCATTAGGCTCGAGCCCAGTGTTGCAGCCACAATGAGATGCCTCAACACACTGAACCAGCTGCTGTCTAATTGACTCGGGCACACAGCGACACATGCGTGTCTGAGTAGAAGTCAGGCAGTGGTTGACTTCTCCCAAATAGATTGCCAGGCCTTTCTCTCCCAAAGATGTACTCGAACTTCCAACCTTCTGGCCAGCAGCAGAGTGCATTCACCCTGTGCACCACTCAGGGACTTCTCCATCCCCCTACGTGGACTTAACTAAGGAATGTTCAAAAATCAGCCCCACTGCTCTTGAACACCTAGGCAACTTCAAGATGGGAGAGTTTATGATTGGGGGAGGAAGACAAGGATTGGGTGATTTTTCTTGGGAGGAAGTTTGGCCACACCATGAACTCAAACCCCGCAGATGGGAATGGAGACAGGAGTTACCCCTGGACCCAGGCCTTTCTCTGGGGCCACTGGGGAAGAGAGAGAGAGAGAGAGAGAGAGAGAGAGACTCTGAAATCATCTGTTCTTATCCCAACTAATACAAAGAGAAGAGAGTTTCAGTCCTTTGGTTCATGGCAAAATTGTTGCTACATTTGGTGATGGACGTTGCAGTCTCCAGACTTAACTCCACGGTGCTTGCTTGCTGGCAGTTAGGCTTGGGTAGGCAGGTGACGTGCCGGAGATATGGAAGCCCATTCATCAGATGCCAATGCCAACTGCCAGCCAGAAAGCCCCAAAGACCTTTCTGGTACACTTGTCTGTATGCTGGCCTCTGTCCAGCTCCCATGCCGGCAGGACTTCCAGGGGAGATAAGCCTCTACCCAGCTGCTAACTGTACCTCAGCACAAATCTCTGCAGACGACGGCCATTCCGCCCTCAAGGAAGTAGGTGAAGGAAAGCAGATATTTTAGAGAATCACGTCCACTTAAACGAACACGATTTTTTCCCTTTAGACTGTGAATTATCCAAGTAATTTCCATAGCAAGTTTTCTGGGGTTGGAGGAAAACTAGTAACTAGGAAAACTAGACCAGCCACCAGTTTTTAACCCCGTCCTGCCTTGAGCTCACCCTGGCCTGGAGAGCCTTCTTCCAATAGTAAGGATCTGTCTTTATGGATCCTTTGATGAAGTGGCCCACTTTCCTGGGTGAAGCAGAAACCAGATCATGGAATGCGGGCAAGTTCTTGCATGTTACTACAGCAAAGCCTGCCCGGTTCTCCCTGACCCAGGTCTCTGTGGACTCCTCACTAAACGCGCCCCCTCACAGCTAGCATTGTCAACGTAAAAACAAAACCAAAAACGTCGACAGTGTAAAACAATGCTGAAATTAGTAACTGCCCTTCGAGCCTCATCAATGTCATCTCTGAAACATTATACCCAAATTATTGCTGAACTCAAAAGGAATAAATGAACTTATCTAAAACAGGAGACCAATATATATCCCTGTGGTATCCTATGAGTTGGGTGCCTTGCACCAACCTTGGAAGCCAGCCTTGGGGTCTGCTACTACTATGTTGATAGCCAAGAAACCCTACGGGGCTTCCTACTCTGCAGATTCACATGAGTCCCCATCGACTCTTTCGCAACCACCAACATGCTGATTGAGCCCATTGCTTCTTTAAAAGGCTCGACGCTGAGAAGAGTTAGCAGAAATAGTGCTCACCTCATACTGATATTTATGGGTTACCCTAGATATATAAGACAACTCCAATCAGTGAGTCTCTTAGAAGCTATTTATCTAAATCCTGACACCTTGCACAGAGATGACAAGTAAGAGGCAGGCAATTATACCAGATGGAAGCAGAAGTCTTTTTCTGCTTGTCCTATGATTTAGCACTTGCTTTCCCAGGTTCTGAAAGTGTGGGCTTTGTCTTCTGTTTCTAGGGCGACAGTGACGGCCATGTGCAACATGGACTTCAGCCGGTTTCCCCTGGACACCCAAACGTGCTCGCTGGAGATCGAGAGCTGTGAGTAAACTTGTGTCCAGGCAGCAGCACAGGCTCACAAACAACTCCGCCTCCTCAGTCACCCTACAGGTTTGGAAGTGCTTTCTTAGGTGAAAGCCAAGTGCAAGAACTGGCTATCTACCTTCCAAACTCAGCCACTGAACACCCGAGAGATCCCCAAAGAACATGGTCTGATCGGCAACCACGCCTGCTCCGTGCTGTGCTGTGTGGGGTCCCCGGGGGACCGGGGCTGACAACAGCAACAGGGTAAATTTTACAAGCCGGGCATTTTGAGCTGAAAGCTCAATATTTATCCCCGCTTCATGCCCTGTGGCAGTCGTTGTCATACATTGTTCATGAAACCTGGAGTTTCCCGGGGCGACTGCTTAGGGCTGGGGAAGAGGAAGGCTCAGCCAATGGGGTCTCCTTCCAAGGGCCCCTTCCATCCAGGCCACAGCATGGATGCATGTAGCAGGCTCGGGTTTTTCAGCCGTTTTATTGGCCTTCTGAGTAAAATTTCTTCTGAGGAAAGAATTTCCGGAACAAGTTTGGAGACAGTGGTCACGAGGGGCGGGCTACCTATCATCCTGCACGCTAAAGATGGATGTACTTACTCATCCGGAGCGCACCATTCCACCTGCTTTCCGATGAGGTTAAATCGTGCACTTCAAATGAGTAAGCAAACACACGTCATCTCGTGGGTACTCATGGACCGGGAAATCCGTCCCTGGGGAACTGCCATGAGGAAGGCATGTGGTGGCTGGGCCTCTCCGGTTCAATCCAGGTCCATCACGTGCACATGGAAATCCTGGAAGAGTTCAAAACCAGCCCGGGAAGAGCCTGCTGAGGCGATTATCAAAGACTAGCCCCTCTTGTCCCTCGTTGTCTACATGCACATCTACCCCCTCTCTTTTCTCGGTCCCAATGCTACCTCTGACAGGCGGGGAGACCTCCATCCTGCAGCTCGTGCGCTCTTCCCAAGCCTGCACACATCCTGGGACACTGTCCTGGGGGAGTCGCAGTTCTCGTGGGGAACTCTTTGGCCCAGAGCCCCTGGGTAAGCCAGCCTGGGCATGTGGTGGCAGTTCACGGGATGTCCCCCTTTCAACAGGCCCCACATTGATCAGGGTCCAAACAGACACTCTGCCGGGGAAACAGGGTGAAATCGCCCAGGATCAAGGGCATGGCTACTCACTACACATGGCTTTCCATCTGCTTTTCATTGATTTTGCATGAAACCCCTTAGAGAAGGTGATGGTTCTCCTCATTGTACAAAGGAGGAGCATTCGCCTCGCGCAGAGCACACCGTTTGCCTGGATATAGGGAGCTAAGAAGTGGCAGAGCCAGATGGAAATCAACACTCACTTCATTGACTCCAAACCCCGGTTTTCCTTAACACCCCCAGGCAGCTTCTGCCTCCCCCCGTAATGCCAGGTTTTCCCGGTTGTGCCAGCCAGCCTTGCTCCAGAGACACAGAGCTAGCAGGACGCACGCACATGAAGAGGTTCACTGGCTTCTGTGACTGTGGGGCCGCCTACCTAATGCTGAGCCGCACAGGGCAGGGTGTCTATTAAGCCTGAAATATACACTATAGTCCACAGGTCGAATATCTTTTTCCTCAAGGAAATTCCAATTCTGCTCTCTTAAGGCCTCTCACCTGGTTGGATCGGACCCACCCAACTTACCCAGAATAATCTCCTTTACAGCCAACTGATTATAGATATTAAGGATGTCTAAAATGACCATCCTAACCACGCCTAAATTAGTGTTTGATTGAGCTGACTAGAATCATCTCAACAGCCACAGGTTTGTACCCAACCACCTTGACACATAAAATGATCACGCCTGTCACGGAACTAGGCAAACACCACCACCTCATTGCCATCCATCAATTCCAACCCATGATGACCTCAGGTGTCTGTGAGGAGAGCTGCTCCTGTGGCCCCACTGGCTGAACTGTATGAATCACCAAAAGGGCCTAAAGTCTAATTGAGTGCTGGGAGACCCGGGAAGAACTATTGCTATAAGAGCAGAGCAGACCGGTCACTCTGTTGGGTACCCTCTTTGTTCTGCCCAAGCGGTATGGAGGCGTGTTGGACAGGAGTGGGAAGTGCACACACAAACAGTTTGTACTCACCTCAGGTGGGCAGGGTTGGGAAAAATGGGTAGCTCCAGAGAGGGTGATTCTACTGGGGGAATCACCTCCCTTGTACTCTGAGTAGGAACAACAGGAACCAGAAAAAAGACTTGCCCTGCTTCCCTTTCTTGCTAGAATGCAGCACTTACGAGTGGAGAGGATTCATAAGTAGTCAACAAGAATGACGGGACATCAAACTTGGAATAAAGCAAGGAAAGGGCTGAATCACCTCTGGTTTTATAAAGGGCCAATCTCCTGTAGATTCCTGGTATCTCGCCCCTGCTGACCCAATTGTCTTTGGCTTAATCCAATAAATGGCAGACTCAATTGTAGGGTGATCCTTTTTTGCAGCAATTATGAGCATTTAGGCTTTAGTGTCTTTTGGAAGGTGTGTGTGGGGGGATCTTCCTGGGGTTTGTTTTGCTGTGCTTAGGCTGTGGTTGGTTTCTCCCATTTCATCTCACTGTGATCCTGGTGGTCCACTTCAGCGATCGGGACCTTCTCACGGCCACACTGGCAGGCCTGTCTTCTCAACACCACTGCCTGATGGGGTCGCTCCTCGTTTCAGATGCATACACCGAAGACGATCTCATGCTGTACTGGAAACAAGGCAACGATTCCTTGAAGACCGACGAGCGGATCTCTCTCTCGCAGTTCCTCATTCAGGAATTCCACACCACCACTAAACTGGCCTTCTACAGCAGCACAGGTGCATGTGAGGTGGGGGCTGAGAGGCTGGGGCCTTAGGAAACCTGTGAATTGATCACATGACCACATTCATTTCCCATCCTGTTACCCCAAATATTGGGTCCCCACCCTTGAGTGATGAGCCTAACCACCCCAAGTGGAACAGAGAAAGAGAAGTGTCATTCATGACTTCAGAGGCTGGCCAATAGAGCATCCTACAGAACCAAGCTGCTCAGCAGGGGCCTGAATTAGCCTGATTTCCAAGGGATATTGGTACTAATTTCTTCTAACATTAACTGCCTGTTACAGGTAGGTGAGCTATTCACAAGATAAATGACAGGCTACACAAAGCCATAAAACACAGTCAGTACCAACAGAAAAGTGGGGGAAGGGAGACAGTGGATGGTGTAAGACATGAAAAAAATAATAACTTATAAATTATCAAAGGTTCATGAAGGGGGTGAATGAGCTGATATCAAGGGCTCAAGTAGAAAGAAAATGTTTTGAAAATGATGATGGCAACAAATGTACAAATGTGCTTGACACATGGATGGATGGATGGATGGTGATAAGAGCTCTTATACAATCCATACATCAATTGTATCAAGCACATTTGTACATATGTTGCCATCATCATTTATAAAACATTTTCTTTCTACTTGAGTCCTTGGTATCAGCTCCTCTTTTTTCCCCCTCCCTCCCCCATGAACCCTTGATAATCTTGATAATTTATAAATTATTTTTATTTTTCATATCTTACACCATCCACTGTTTCCCTTCACAACCATGTTTCTGTTGTTCCTCCCTCACCCCGGGTGGGGGGCAGGTGTTGTGTGTCAATCATTGTGATCTGTTCCCCCTTTCTCCCTCTTCTCCCCCCACCTTCTTCCCACCCTCATGGTATCACTACTCTCATTATTGGTCCTGAGGCGTTTACCTGGCTTGGAATCTGTGTGTTGAGAGCTCTTATCTGTGCCAGTGTACATGTTCTGGTTTGGCCAGATTTGTAAGATAGAACTGGGGTCATGATAATGGGGGGAAGGAAACATCAAAGAACTAGAGCAGTGGTTCTGAACCTCCCCAATGCCGCGACTCTTTAATACAGTTCTTCATGTTGTGGTGACCCCCACCCACCATAAAATTATTTTTGTTGCTATTTGATAACTGAAATTTTGCTACTGTTATGAATCGGGTGACCCTGTGAAAGGGTCATTTGACCCCCAATGGGGTTGCCACCCACAGGTTGAGAACCACTGAACTAGAGGAACGTTCTGTTTCTTTGGTGCTATACTGTACCCTGGCTGGCTCGTTCCTTCCTTGTGACCCTTCTGTGAAGGGATGTCCAATTGTCTACAGATGGGCTTTGGGTTTCCACTCCACCCCCCCCCCTCGTTTGCATCAAAATGGTTGTTTATTTTGGGTTTTCTGATGCCTGATACCTGATCCTGTCAACACCGCGTGATCACACAGTCTGGTGTGCTTCTTCCATGTGGGCTTTGTTGCTTACCTGCTAGAAGTCCACTTGTTTAACTCCAAGCCTTTAATATCCCAGACTCTATCTTGTAAAAGCCGGGCACCGTCAGCTTTGTTCACCAAATTAGCTTATGCACCCATTTTGTCTTCAGCGATCATGTCGAGAAGGTGAGCATCACAGAATGCCAGGTTATTAGAACAAAGGGTTCTTGCATTGAGGGAGGGCTTGAGTAGAGGCCCAATGTCTGTCTGCTACCTTAATAACTTACCTATAAATATATGTACATAGACCTATAACCTATCGTTATATATTAAGATATTTACATAAGTACATGCCTGTTTATACCTGTATAAATCTTTTTTTCTGTATAAATATTTTGCCTCCTAGATCTTTCCTCAATATCCTTTTACTTTCCTCCTGCCCCACTATCATGTTCAACCTTCAATCGGCTCTCTGTACTTCCTCTCGGCTACATTGCACTTGATCTAACTCAACCAGGCATTCTATGCCCTCCTCACCATC